AAATATTTTTACACCAAGGGTAACTATGCACTGATAGATACCTATTTGTTGAAATTACGGGCATTAATCAACTCTGCTATCTATAACGCTTCAGAATATATGTATATACTTTATAGGGTCGGAAAATTATAATTTGGAAAACCCTTATTTTCCAGGGCTATGAATGAATAATTTCAGCAGGAAATCTAAAACGTGTTTTTGTTACCCTCCTCAAAATTTACCTTGCTATGTTTTATGATGATTCCCAAATTTATTTACGTCTAGCGATGGCCGTTCGTGAGCTGGATCAAATTTAAAAAAAAAAAGTATTTTTTTTTTTTAATTTCAGTACTCTTCTGAAACAATATATTCAATATGGGGTATCATTAAAAACGGATTTTAAAGTCGCATCCAACGATAATTTAATCATATATTAACAGTCTTCTCATATGACAATTATTACAAAAATATATATTTTTTTTAGGTTTTTCATTAAAATAAATAAAATTTATTCACAATGCAAGTTTTGAACACCGTTGCACGTGACTTCAAAACCCCTTTCAAATGATACCACAAATTGTATATTTTGTTTAAGAAAAAAATGTAAAATTTTAAAAATAGCTGCAAAGAGACTTTTTGTAACAGGAGAAAAACAACAACAACAACAAAAACAAGTAAATTTTACTATAAGGATGTATGAATGTACATACATATGTATATAAGTTATTACTTTGTATTTGTTTTTCTATTCGTTGATGTTTCACGGCAAATCCGTTGTATCTTTTTCCTTGTTATAATATTTCTTGGTGGAACCCTTCGAATTTTTCATCTGATACTGCTCCAAGATTATCAGGTAAAATTTTGAAGCCAAAAAATTACGTTTTAGTGACATATTTCATTTAAAATATGCAGAGAGCGGTCCATTAATTTTTCATTATAGTTTTCAGCTCCTTGTTTTCCCCTAAAAAATGACAAACATCTACAAATGCGACACGTCCTCATCTTCTACTTCATTAAGCTTTATTGTAAATACTTCATCCTCCATAAGTTTCCGTATTTATGGCCCTACATTTGTAGGACCTCTTTGTTAAGACTTCTTGCTAACTTTGTTACTTATAGTGAAGGTTTCCTTGATGATAAATACATCACTTTGTGTAATTTTTGAATTTTCGATATTTATAAACCCACAAGCTTTCTTTGAAATAGCCCGAGAAAAGAATAACACTAGACGTGATTGGAAAAATGGAATGTAGGCGTAGATTCAACGTGGCAATATCTTAAATTCTTTAACATATTTTTTTAACGAAGGTTTCTCTTGCAGACCAGGTTAATTTGTTAGCTGTTTCAGTTTTTTTATTTAGCCAAACAAATTTAATTTTTTCCAATTTTGTTTGAAATTTTAAAACAAATTCACAAACCAACACCCTGTGTATACATTTTTAAAATAACTTCAAATTTTCGAATTAAAATTTTAAAATTCGAACGTAATATTATAATGTCAAGAATACTGTTCACCTACAAGGAACTGGTTTAAGGGCCTAATTTCGTAAATCCCTACGCCTCACTTCACCTATCAATTTTTAAATTTGTATTTTGTAAAACACTTCATTATGACAGGTGTTTGTTTGCGTTGAAACAAGTGAAGAAGCTTCGTTATTTGTGAAAAATATATAGAAAATGATATTTTATAAAACGCATCACCTGAAAAATACACACTTGAAACTTCAAATCGAACACATAATTTATTCAAGCGTTCGGTTTGAAATTTTATTGAATAAATTAATAAAATAAACTTTTTACGTGGAAATGTTCACTCTTATGTACATGTAACAGCTATCTTTATGGAAAAGTTTTGGTATTGGAGCTACTCGACCTCGCACGGGAAAGGACGCAAATTGGTATGTATTTCTATTGATATTACAATGGAACTCGCTTCTCTGAAATTAGTACACTAATAGCTAAAGTCATTCCATTGTAATATCGATAGAACTCGGCGACGGTGCTCCAATGTATCAATAAAGATGGAATCCAGATTTCACCTAATATGCGATCGAGTAGCTCCGTATGAAGAAAAAGCTTCCTTCAGAAATATTTTATGTTAAATCGTATGTCTAACACTAATACCATCAACCACAATGTATTTTAATTGTTCCAATACAGTTTAATGCTTAAATAGCGTAAAAACTGGTCTTGTTCAAATTAACTATTTTTTTCAGTCATTTGGACTGTATTTTTATATTATATAAGGGTTTGTGATTCTGATAATTGGTTTGTATATGCGATTAATAATTTAAAGACACAATAATTTAAAGACACAATGCAGACGTTAAAGGAGATAACCCAACGCAATAACGAAGTGATTTGTAAAATTTACTTTTTTTGATAAAACGTTCACTTTTGAATGTGAAGTGTATGTGATGCGTTCAACGCAGGGAATTTACGAAATAACCGCCTAAAATTCATTTAGAATTTCCACTATAACAACATGCAAACCTAACTCCATTGCATTGTCATCACGTGTCTTTATACATACATACATACATACATACATACATACATACATACATACATACATACATACATACATACATACATACATACATACATACATACAAACATACATACATACATACATACATACATACATACATACATACATACATACATACATACATACATACATACATACATACATACATACATACATACATACATACATACATACATACATACATACATACATACATACATACATACATACATACATACATACATACATACATACATACATACATACATACATACATACATACATACATACATACATACATACATACATACATACATACATACATACATACATACATACATACATACATACATACATACATACATACATACATACATACATACATACATACATACATACATACATACATACATATATAAGTCATTAAAATATGTCAAGAAAATCGTTTTAAAAGCAGCAAACTTTTACATTTTAAATTTACGACTTTAGTAATATCGAGATTTCATTAATATTTACTAATATTCGTAATCGATGGACTATAACAAAATATAATTGTTATATGAGAACCCTGCATTTTTTTGTTCACTTTTGTATCACAGTGTTATTTATCAAAATTTTTATTTGCTAATTTAGTTAATTATTAGAAAATAATATGTCTCAATAACAAAAAACACTCTATGTTCATTTGTATGCACATTACTTGTAATTAATTAAAAAAAAAAAAAAAAACGAAAATAAGATAAAAATTTACGCAATATTCACATACATTTACGACTCACACACACTGTATAAAAAGCAAAAACTTGTTTTTGTTACCCCTCCCAAAATTTAACTGACCTTGCTTTATGACCATTCCCAAATATTTTAAGTCTAGTAATGACGCTGAAACAAATTAAAAAAATTTCATTTTAGTTTATTTAAGTATTTATTGGTCCATAACAAAACAATTACAAATTATATTCTAACTTAATTTACTGAGCATGGTGACCATGACCATACGCCCGTTGGTTTTTATCTATTTCGATTTCCACCAGAGACTCTGGTCTGCTCGGTAAAATAGGTGAGAATATAATTTGTAATGGACAAATAAATATGTAAGTCTGTTCCTCTTAAAAAGTTAATATTAATTTACTCATGCCCTTTTCGAAATGACAGGTTCAAATAATCGTGTCATCCCACCAAAAATAAACGAAGCACTTCCAAAAGAAGATCATTATTCACCACTTATAAAGTAACACTAAGTGAATTTTTTACCTCCTGAGGAAGTTATGTTTAATGATTCCGAAGAAGCGAAAAAAATCCAATTTTTTTAATGCTGAAGATATATTTTTTTTGTTCTAAAATTTTTATGAGTTAAAAAAATTTAATTTTTGGACTTCTATATTAAATGTGTCTATTACCCTTGTTAATTTTAATATGTATTATTTAAGTCAAATTAGTTGTATTCTATAATACTACAATTTTACATCCAAATAACTTCCAAAAAAGAACATAAAAATTACATCTTGAGAATCAAACCAGACATTGGCCATATGATCAAATATTGCACTATCTTCGTGAAATGTAGTAGATTGATTTCTATAAAACCTGATTATCGAAGTATTGGTATTTTTAAGCCAATTATAAACGTTATAGTAATTTTCTTAAATGAGCCTTATTAGGGACCAATATTCATAAAAATTAGTAAAGAGATTTTACATTTTTTAATTTTTTATATCGAATTTTTAGAATTATTATTTTTTTAAGGCATTTGTGAGTGTTACAGAAATTTCAGCAGGAGACCTAATATCGGAACTACGATCAATGTTCGCCACACTTTGATATATAATTTGAGGATACATAAAGTTATCTTGTTCAAAATTTAATCACGATTACTGCCTAAAAAAACATATTTATGTCCGTTTAAACTGTTTTCCGATGGCCACTTTCGTAGGGGCTATCAGAAATCTTATACCTTCATTTACCAAATAAAAGAAATTCAAAAAATTCATTTAAAATTTACTAAATAGGACTTGTCGCGTTTGCGTGCTAAGTTAACGATATGTAGTTTTTCTTCACGTCTCGCAAAAAGTCCCTTTAAGGGTTTTACATCGTTAACTAATTCTTAAAATGCCAACGCGACGCGTATTTAAAAACACTTCCCAAAATTCACCTTTTTATAAAAAAGCATTTGTAGTAAGTACATGAACTTAAAATTATGAAATTACGCAAATTTCGTTATATTTTTTAAATATGATAAGATGAGTAATAATATTATATATGCATAATGATTTATTAAAATATTTTTTTAATTGCATGTATCTTGTAAAATATAAATACATATATGTATAAGTTATTTAATTGTATATATGTAAATATTTTAACTTTTTATTTTGTAATATTAAGTTTGTGGCATGTACTTGGCATGAATTATAATGCGCCACCCAGACCTTTTCTGTAAACTGTTTTCTTACTATACAATTTAAATTTTACATATGTTCATATCCTTTAGTTAATTGCTCAATATTTGGTCGTAAGAAGAAGCAATGTCGTGACAAGTATCTGGCAAAACATAGTGGTATATTTGATAACTTGGAGTTGGTTACCTATGAGGAGGTCGTAAAAGTGCCAGGTAAGTGTAACTAAAAATATAAATAATACTTTTAACAAACAATTTTTTTATATTTTTAGTCGGAGATCCAAATTTTCAGCGAAAAACTTTAGTTTTATTAGGGGCTCATGGTGTGGGCCGACGTCATATCAAAAATACTTTAATTTCTAAATATCCAGATAAATATGCCTATCCTATACCCCGTAAGTAAAATAGTTAAATAGAAAGACATACGTCCATGTGATGACAACCGCATTTCGCCTAACATTGGCGATTTTGAAATCAAATAGCAAAATAGGTGTGATAGATCACAATCGCAAGAAGTTTGGCTATTTCAAATCTCAAACATTTACTAAAGTGAACTAATGAATTTTGCTTAATCTGCGATTTTAAAAGCTAAACAAATGATTGAAAAATTAATCTTAGTATTGATGAAAGCTGATAACGCTTTTTAATAATTATATTTAAAAATAACAATTTCAAAAAAGTCTTGAATTTTACTGATAATTAAAAATTTCGATTGTTTTCTTTTGTATTGCCGATTTTCCTTTTTATTTTGTGGCACAAAACATATGTTTTATTATTTCTTGGATTTTTCTCATAATTTTTTCAATTGTTTTCGTTTTTATTGGCGATTTTCCTTTTTATTTTATTTTTTATTGTTTCGAAAACAACTTAGAAAAATTACTAAACGCAAACAAAACGCGCGAACTCCAACACATACTTAAATAAATTGAGCGATCTTCAAATCGTATGCGATTTGATAATCGTGCGATTGTCTTCACATGGGCTATGGAGAATATTTTTCTTATATATTCTCAAGTGGTTAAAAAAATTAATATTAAAAAATTAAATCAAATTATCTGTGGATATGAAAATAGTATACATTAAAGGCAATATCGATTTTGTTTGAAAGGGTCTTATTTTGCTTATTAGAGTCTAAAACTAACGGATATTAAATTTTAGGCCAATCGGATAACGGGAACACGTGCCGAAAATTGATTTACCCCCATTTTCACAATGTCTAGTTCTCATACAAAAATTGTCATAACTGGAAGAATAACTACCAGTTAGACGATAACTGCAGGTAGTGAAAAGTTGTGCGTAAAATTGGGTAAATAATAGGATTTATATATGTATAAGCATTTCAAAATTTATTTATGGGAATTCTGATTTAATTAAAGTTAAAAATTTTAATAAAATTAAACGTATTATTGGGGATAAGCTAGTTCCTACGTGCATTTCGTTTTTTTTTTTCACAAAAAAACGTAATGACTAAAGGATTAAACTTTAATAGATATATCATATAACAGATCTTTTAATTGAAAAGCATTTACGAAAAACTTCAAAAATCATAAAATAGAAATATAAAAAATAATAATTTTAGACATATGTATATTGATCCAATTTTTTCTAAAATAAAACCGTTACCGAAATTCCTAAAGTGGAAAAAATGTGTTACAAAAAATTAGTTTTTTTATATAGCGTTATTTACCGTGAGAAAGTAAAAATAGTTTGTATATATTTAAGGAACATATATCTATTTTTTTTTTCAAAATTGACCAAGTTTAGATAGCGCTTAAATGAGCCAAGTTTTATTTTCTACATTAAGTTCTCTTTCCGGATGATATAAAACTTGTATAAAGTCCTGAAGATAAGTTGTTTTTATCAATGAACGAATATCGGGACTTTTTTGAGAATAAACCATTTTTTTTTCTTTTATTTAGAATTTTATCAGGAAATTAGAGGATATTAAAAAAATTAAATTTAGATATTCTCAAGGAGTAGTAATATTTTAAATTTCAGCTCATTCAGATCATAAATGGATTTTTGGCAAATTTAAAAAAAAAAATACCCGAGGTAATCAACTTTGAGGGGCTACCCACTGGCCCCCATTCTCCCCTCTATCACCTACAATTGTCAATCCACTCGAAAACACCTGAGCTCCAAACATTTCATTGCGATATATCCAATAGTTTCAGAGATAAAGACTTATTTCCAGAAATAAAAGTTTCTAAAACGCTGTGTGACGATATACATATCGCTTATTTCCTACAAGAATGGTATAAACCAGAATTCGGGTTCGGGTCATATGAGTCTTTCATATACATATGTATGTTGTTTTGTCTATTTTTAAAAATGTCTTTTATTTTCGTTGTTGTTGTTATCGTAAAAATTAAAACTCAAATTATCACGTTTATTCGATAATAAAAATTTAGTTTAAGTTCCGACGAGAAACATATTAAATCCTACTTTATATATTAGGTTTTATTTTTCAAATCCGTCGATCTGTTGAAAGTTATTAAAAAAATAAATATTATATTAGTTTTGTTTTTAAAACATCGATTTCTAACGATAGGTTAGTTTATGATTACAGACGTAAAATAGAACATTGATTCTTAGTGTGTTAGTAAAATGTAAGGCATATTATAGATTAAGAGTTATAAAATTACGTTATCTAATAATAAAAGTGTTTTATTAATGCAGATACTACACGACCTCCTAAACCGGATGAAGAAAATGGTCGGAGTTATTACTTTGTATCACATGATGAAATGATGGCCGATATTGCAGCTAATGAATACTTAGAATACGGTAAGTGTGTAAAATAAATATTATTGCGTAAAGGTTGAACCCAAATCCAAACCAAAATCGAACAATTTTTAATCGGTGATATCTACAAAAATAAATGTACAATCAAAATAAAATTTTGGATTTAAATAGCCTATAGCCTCCGTTAAATTATCATATTCCGTAATACAAAAAATTATTAAAAATAGTATATAGCATTTGTCCACATTATTGTAAATAGAAAATAAAGACCAAATTTTCAAAAATTTTCATACATACATAGGTACATTAGGGTCGCCCCAAAATGGAAGTTGCTGATGTATTTGGTGAGCTGGATCAAAGGATAAAAAGGTCCTTTTTTAAGGTTTCTATGATTTTTTTCACATTTCTGGCAAATAAACGATATGAAAATTTAGTATCATATAAAAGGTCTTTGGGAGACGATTTCAATGACATAACACAAATTTCTATACAACTCCAAAATTATTACAAAATCATACAATTACCGAAATGGTTTTTTTCTATTTTTCGAAATTCGTTATGTTTTGTATCTTATTTTAATATGTTAAACTCTATTTTGTCCCAGGTTGTCTGCTAGCTATATTTATCTAACATACTTAATATGTATATCAGCATACGCGTTATTTCATTAGCTTTACAATGATATATAACACTTACCCCCGTTAACACCAACTCCGGTTATCGTCTAACCGAAAACTGTCAATTTAACCTTACGGTAAAATATAACCAGACATTGAGATAATGGGGGTAAATGGTTTCATTCTATTATTAATCACATTTTTCATTTTAACTGAAATATTAATTTAATACGAAAAATTATAAAATTCAGATTACTATTACTGTTACACAAAAATGTCTGATATGCCATTGAAAGCTTCTCTCAAGGGCATTTCAAATTATACCAAAATATCTTTCCTTTGGAAGATATATGAAAAAATAATAAAAACTTTAAAAAAAGACCAGCTCGCCAAATATTGACCCCAGGACAAAAATTTTGAGAAACTATATCTTATAATCAATTAAACTTTAATTTTAGTCGGGAACACCGACACCTTATTTTTCCTCCATATAAACGGGGCCTCCCTCATGTACATACATAAATAATATCTTTGTCTAACAATCAAGTCAGGACTAGTTCTTGATTATTATTTACATACATACAGTGAATCAACTAAGTTTTTTGCCTACCTTTTTTAAGAGAATTTTGGTTTTTGTTCATAAAAAAAATTAAAAAAAAAAAAAAAAAAAACAGGTAAAAAGTAAATTTATGTTTTCCAACTGAAAATAGAGATTGTGTAGAATGGGAAAACCAAGAAAAAAATATTAAAATAAAAATGTTGGTGCATTTGTTGTTGCATTTTATTATTTTTCATCAGAATTTGCACGTCAATAAAGTATTTTGCATATTGAAATTTCCAGTTAATTTCGTTGGGTTTTTCAAATTATTTTTTAATTGCTTTTTGGAATTTATTGTTAAAAGGACATGTGTTAAGTATTTTTCAATTGTAATTTTCAAAAATCATATCCTTATTGTGTGAAACTATGTAGTTATTTGCGTTAAAAATGTTTAAAGGGAAATAATGAGGCAATTCCAATATAAAAAATTAGTTTATATTTTTAGAACAAGTATAAATCAATGAAATTCAATTATGAGATGTTTAATCAATCATTAAAAAATATAAAATATAGAAATTGATGTAATAACACAAAGAATTATTAAAAAACGCACGGAGTTGTCTTTCAAAATCTTTAACTGCCAAAGGACAGCGACTTGTATCCAAGCAAAAACCATTGAAGTCCTCATTTATCTTCTCCAAAGTCCATATACGAACTTAAAAAAACACTATGTTTAAATTTAGACCTCTAAACAGACCTTAGGTTGCTTGGAAACAAAACTATCGTGTGGTACGGAAAAAATACTTAATTTAGGTATTTACAAATAGAGGCGGTTCTCATCACCTAAGATCCACAAAAGCAATATTTTTCAGCTAATACATACACTTATATATAGTTAGAACCCAAATCAAGAATAACTATCCAAATCCAACTACGCCTACTGTATTTTATTCATAAAATAATGCATTCAAAATATGAGGTAGAATATCAAGATTCTAGCATGTAATAGTTCTATAGTGGTATACGGTGATATCCCCATACTTAGAGTGGCTAGGATGGTACTTAGTGTTAGCTTTATTGAATAAGAATCAATATTATACAATTCTAAATAAAATTCACACAGTACTCCCCAAATAGATGGGGTTTCCGTAATGTAGTTTTTGTTTATCAATACAAAATGACCAAAAACCCAGATTATTTTTGTTATAATCTATAGATTTTCCTAATATATTATGTATCCAATTCAAAATTACTTATTATTTTCGAAATTAAATCAAAGAAACAATAGATTTCATGTTAAGTCAAATATTGAAAAATTTTTATAGGTATATAGGATAATAAATCGGTTAAGAAATGTCCAAACTTAGTCGTTCCACTACTAAAATATCTAAAAAATGTTATTCTAATACATAGGAGTAATAAAAATATAAAATTTTATAAAAAAATGCAGCAATATTAAAAAATTAACAAAAAACCTAAAAAAGCAAAATACTTTATTGACCTTGAAAATTAACAATACGTTCACATATTATCAAAAATCTCGTTAATTAATATCACGATTTTACTTTTTATGGTAGAAAATTAAAATATAAGATATTCCTTAAAAAATACAACAAACAAATTGCTCTATTTTGCTAAAAATAATTGTTCAGATAAAGTTTTTTCTTAAAATTTATAAAATTTTACATAGGCAAATTACTTAATTGATTCACTGTATGTATATGTATGTTCTTTTACATTAAATAAATAATACGCTCATAATTATCTGTAATTGTTCTTAAAAGGTACACACGAAGATGCTATGTATGGCACAAAACTAGATACTATTAGACGTATACACACTGAAGGCAAAATGGCAATTCTTGATGTAGAACCACAGGCTTTAAAAATATTACGGACTTCCGAATTTACACCGTATGTTGTGTTTATAGCTGCGCCTTCTTTACAAAACATTGCAGATGTAAGTAAACTTTTCGATTAATGGTAATATATTAATATACATACATATGGGCAATTCCATACCATCGTTCGTGACATTTGTACGCCTATAGAGTTGTTTAAAATTTGGAAAAACAGAAGTAATTGGAAAATAATTATGTCATTATGTTCCATTCAGAGGGTTCTCTATGTGGACAAAAATGAATACAATTCGGATCCTTATTGTTTAAAATATAGGACAAAATAAAGGGATATCATACGTGACGTAATACGGAAGTGATTTTGAGGTACATGTAAAAATATACAAAAATCTGCGAATTGTGTAGGTGTTTCCTATATTATTTTTTTTCTAACACTAGGGGACATATTTAGCCTTTATATTCGGTAATTTTAAAATAAACAACTATTTTGATTTTTTTTATTATGAACAAAGTTTAATATCGTACGTGACACATCGTACGCAACAGATTCTGCTCTTATATATTCTTAAGATATAAAATATATATTTTGGAAACATAAGTATATAAAAATTTAAAAAGAACTTATAAAGAAATAAAACATTTGTATTCAATAAAAACGATAATGAATTAAATTAATTTTTTATAACACAACACGTAAATAAGAACTGAGTTTTCACCAGCAACTTAGCTTATTATATTCGAGTTAAATTTTAATTGTTTCTCTTACTGAATATGCAGTTCGAGAAACACTTATGCACTCATTATTATGATATGAAAATTAATGCAGTTTTTTTATATTTTGAATCGGATGAATATTTTCCCATCTTTGATTAAGAAAAGGGGAGAACTTTTCGATCTCTTCCGCAGCGACATACATCAAATTAACTCCTTCCACATATCTATGTGCACATTCATAAAATGAATAAGCATCCGACAATATAAACTTATTGGCTTTTACAACTTGCCACACCTTTCTTTTGACTATAGCACCTATACCATCAACGACGCCTTTACCATGAATGTGGCAAAGAAGTTCCATTCTAAAAATTTGGAATTAAACTCGGCTACAAAAGATGGTATACTTTTCAAAATAAATTTGTTTTTAAATTGGGCGCCGCAACCATCGGAGAATAAGAAAATGGATGAAATGTCTTTATATTTTTCTTGGATTTGATGGATAATTTTAGTAATGAAGTAATACACATCAAACTTGTTGTGCGTTAATTTATCGCTAATAAAAGCAAATGATTCACTTTGACCAAAGACCCACGCAACGCATGTGATAATAGTGACCTGTTTATAGCTGAAATGAGCATCTTGAATTTCGTTTTGATGAATCAGTCGATAGTATTCAGCAAAATCTATTTGAAGAACCACTTCATCACCTGCAATATTAAGTTTTTTGTTATTAAAATATCTTTGCTGACATTGTTTTATAAAACTGTGAAGTTTGAAAATCGGCAGTTGAACTTCTATTTCATAAATTAACTCTGCCAGTGGAGCTATAGTGTAGCTTAACGTTAAGCGGTTATCAACTTTTCTCCAATATTTCCATGTTACATTTTTGTCCATTTTTGTACGGAAATTTATTGGTATTAAATCATGTTCTATATCTCGCACGCAATTCTCACAACTTTCGGCCATGCAATTTTCATCCAATACATTGCAACAGACAGTTTGTAAGAACTTTTCAAATGTTTTAGGAAACGTCGGTATAACATTTGCACAGGACTCTAACAAAAAAGCAAAATTTGTGTGATATTTGCAAACACACACATTGTGCGGCATTTTGTCTATTAGTTGTACATAGCTAGGTCGATACTGATAAAACAAAGAGTTTCCAACACTATTTGGGGAGTATTCTCTTTTCTATAATTGGTAAGATTCTGCAACTGTCAAGAGCATAAAGCGTTTGGCAACTATTTTGCCGTCAAAAATTATGGTGTCTTTTCGGCCTGGAGATTGTACACTTATTCCCTCACGAAGGTAGAATTTTTTGACTATTTATATACTATCAACAATGTCAAGACATTCTTCTTCTACACATTCTGTGGCCTCCTCATATTTCTTGTACAAAGTTTTAAGAATTACGACTTTTTTATTTAGGTCTATTGGTAAGACTCTTTCTATTTTTCTTACAGCTTTACCTAAAGTTTGTTTACACTTGTAAAAAGATTCAGGGTTTACTCGATTTTTTAGTTTTTCTCTCCGTTTTTGTTGTCGAATGCGATCTTTTCTTCTTTTTTCTTGGAGAAGCTTTTCATCGTTCTTGATTGCATCCGACAACTTTTTTCTATAGACACGCTGCCTTTCAACCTCCTTTTTTCTGTACTGCTTCAATTTTTCTGCGTTCGTTTTAAACTCCTTTCTCCATTTCTTTGTAATATCATATTTACTTTTCCCCATTATTTTCATACATTTAGTTGCATTTAAATATACTTACAATATAGTATGTGACGGACTTTAAGGGCTTATAATTTTTTTTATACTAAATTTTTTAACAAAATTTATCAATATTTGTTAGTGACAAATATTTTGCTTTAAACTTTTATTTTGATAAACGTGGAACCGCTTATATTGAAATTACGAAGAAAAATAATGTTTTTGCACCAAGTACGTGACTTTAGAATAACATCCAAATCAAATCAAAAAAATACCGTTAAGAGAACTCTATATTTTCTCTTGACTCATGGATCTTGTTCATTGTTGTTGTAATATCAATTTTAAAGTATAATTGCATTAATACAAGTACCACAATTTAATCGTTAATTAAGAGAAAATAGTTCATTATAAGTTCTTAAAACTCAATCAAAGAGATTGTTAGCTAAAATCATTATTTTTTCTCTTTAAAAATAGTAATAAGCTAAAAATACTTTTAGATAGTAAAATTTGAATATTTCGTTTACTCTTTAAAACATTTTAAAACAAGTTTCAATGAAGTTTATTTTTTCTGTCTTGGTTTACCTTTTCATGGAATTGCCTATATGTATGTATATACATACATACATACATACATACATACATACATACATACATACATACATACATACATACATACATACATACATACATACATACATACATACATACATACATACATACATACATACATACATACATACATACATACATACATACATACATACATACATACATACATACATACATACATACATACATACATACATACATACATACATACATACATACATACATACATACATACATACATACATACATACATACATACATACATACATACATACATACATACAAACATATGTATGTAAAGGGGGGTTTTCGTGTCAGGTGACCCCACTTTTGACTCCGATGTCTTCCGATCGGGATGAAATTTCTACCAATGTTGGTACTATTGCATAATATGTACACAGAAAAAACTGAAAAACGATTTCAATTACCAAAACCTCGTTTTCAATTATTTTATTTTTTGAAGTTCAACCTATAACAAAAATTGTATATTCAATTACTACTTATAATTGATTTCGTATACAAAATTTGTATTTTTTTCTATTTTTGTTGTTGTTAAATACGTATTTGATTATACATTTTTATGAATCAAATACAAAATGAATTGAACCCTTTTAAAATTTTTGATTAATCGTTTAATTGAAAATATTTTAAAAATAATTTTTTCTGTGTAGTTTAGACACAATTTTTCAACAAGAACTTCTTAATTACAGTGGGTCAAAGTTTCATTTCGAGTCGAAACGCGATATAAATAATTTTTCGGAATTCTTGGCGTTCGAGTTTCAAAAGACCCTTTCGTAATGGATCTACATACATACATATATGTATGTGTATACACCAAAAATTAATGATTTTACCATGAACGGTTTGGGCTGAGCGATTATGAATGAGTCATTATATAAATTATTGCAATTTTTTTTGCAAGTGTGAGGGATACTTCCCTTCTTTAAAATTTTCTTTGAAGTATATCCGCAGGAAGGAATAAAAGGTATTCTTCCTAAATAATTGAAAATATGTAATAAAAAACTTCATTGCGTTTAGTGCGTGAAATTTTTTAACAACCGCTAAAAAGTAATTTTGTGGTTTTTTATATTTTTCAATGCTTTATTCGACTATGCTATGCCAATTCTAATATGAGAAACAAATATCAATAGTTATATCCCTAATATACATATGACATACATACATATGTACATACATACAATGACAAAAAAGTTTCCCATTAAAATTATATATATACCAGCGTTGCCACTCACAATTTATTTTTCTTACCAAAGTTCCGACAAAAAACTACCAAAACGTTCCAAAAACTACAAAATTTTTCATTAGGGACAATTGCTTCTGTCTAGAGTTTCATTATTTTTAAAACTAATATGTAATATCATACAATGATTTGTTCCGAAGAATCAATGGTTTACTTTTACGCAATTAGACAAAATTTCCAAACACTTTGGTACTATATAGTTATGAAATACATAATTGCTGTTTTCGACAAAATTTGTACCAAAATCATTCCCGAGAAAATAGTAATAGTATTATATTCATCTATGACGAATCATATATGTATATCCACCATTGGATAAATCCTTTTATTATACTACGGTTAACTAATTTGCTAAAAGGGGCTATTAATTTTGTGATTCAGTTTGTAAGGTAGTAGTCCCACCAAATTATATATTCATTTATGAATCTGGCTTCTTAGAAAAAATGAATTAGTGTGGCCTCCAGTAGGTTAGTGGTTTATAGTCAGACCTGACGTTGTGCGTTCAATTCCCACCTGAGGCATTGGTTAGGAAGTTCACAATGGGACCGATGCAAGCCTAGAAGTATTCCTTCCGATTTTATTTAACATCCTCATTTCAAACTAACTAACTTACTGACATTCATGAATCAGAAATGTTGAAATACATAGGGCACTGGCACACGTTCAATATATATTGATCAATATGAATCACGGCCCATTTTAATAGTTTGATGAATAGCTCGGTATACTACACGTTCAATATTTATCGCGTCAGTATTTTCATTATTTCGTGCTACACGGGTCGTACGATGATAACTAGAATGCTGCGAA